AATGGAAATGCCATACAATTCAGTTTGCTGGAATGGCAGCAGTGATTTTGACTCTGGTCACATTTATTTATCTGGAACTGAAAGAAAGGCAGCTGAAGAAAATTATTAGATGTTTTGCTTCTCAACTGGCACTAGTCTGTGTTCTAAAAAATCCCGCATACAATCGAAGGCAAAGTGAAATCAATTTTGCAATTTCATTTCATATAAAAGGTACAGCACCTCATAAATAAATGGGAAGAAGTCTTCAAAAAATGGTGTCCCTGAGAAAAAGAGTGGACGTGTATTCGTCTCCTTCCTTCATGGTACTTGCAAGTCTAGAAGACCACTTCTGTTTCAATGACATTTCTAGTGTGAATAACATGAGCTTAAATGCAACACATAGACAATGTCATCATTTTTATATACATCATTTTTTATCTTCACCATTTCAATCATCCTATGCGGTAACAGCTGTTCCATCTTTCTCTAGGCTGGTGCTTCCCAAAATTGTCAACCAACTAACACTATTTTTTAAAGTCCAAACAACCTGGAAGGCATCCATAGAATGTTGAAGATTACAATATCCATTTGTAGTTAGAGTGCTTTCTTTATCATTGATTTTATGATGGAGATGAACTTAACTCTTTATTCACAAGCTTCTACCAAGTGGTAGAAACTACTCCAAATCAGTTACAACAGCAGATTCAGAGCAGTAAAGAGAACTTCCATTTTCCATGTAACTTTTCTTTTGACTTGCCCTAACAACTGATAGATACATCCTTCTCTATTGATAGGACTAGAAGTAATATCATCAAAGTTTATCTGATTCCCCTGGCAAAATGGTTGCCCTTACTCATTCTACATATGCAGTTGTATCATATAGCATTACCACTTGTCATCTGAAAATGACTAAGTTGATAATTTCCATAGCAGTTACAGAGATTCCCTATTTGTTATAGTGAGTTAAGGTATCTTCATTCCATTTAGTAAGCAATGTTAATTTTTCCTCTATTTTTATATGATGATTAAGCATGTATTGGAACGTGCAGCATCTGGCAATGAGCTGCCATTTTAATGAAATTGATTAGCTGGAAAATGTGCTACCAAACTCCTGACTTTTTTTGCCACTGCAAATTAACACAAGTTTCCTCCTACAATGGCACCTTTTTGTATTTATGAAAAGCTAAGTCCATTTGTTTTTCACAAGCAGATGCATTCAGCTTTATTTAGATGACAACTCCCATCATATTCCCATCCTACTCATGAAGCAATGTAAAACTGTGACCAAGCTTGAACAATGCTCAGGAAAATCACTCCTACTATCAATCTCACCAGGTAGACTAGACCATGAAATCAACTCCACAGGAAAGCAAAAACAACTTTCCTCGAGATTGGAGGAAATCTTGTAAGTTTGATTTTGTTGTACCTTCTCCTTATCCTTATGGGTTCAGTGAATTAGGGAGTGCCTGACCCACTTCTAATTGTTACTTGTGGAGTTTAAAAATGTTCCAGTCCCCTTTGCCCAGACCTTTTCTATCAAGGTCATCTTCCTTGCTCTTCAAACTTACCAACAGGTTTGGATATCCTAAGAGAGTAGAGTGGTCATTTAGGCCACTGAAGCTAACTCCCTACTCAGTACTGGAAACCAAGCTAAAACATTGAAGTCATTCAGTGAAGTCATCAAGAACTGAAGAAGATTCTTGCATGAGAAGCGAAACGTTTTCAAGGAAAGAAAAAAAACTAAGAAAGTCCAGTTGTCTTGTGGAAAAGCATCTTTGGTATAACCATAACCTAGATGATGGAGAATCTCCAGACATTCATCCAGTGAAGGGAAGTCCACCACCTCTCCGAACGATTAATTCCACAATCAAATTGCTCTTACTATTAGGAATCTCAACTGCAACCTGCCTTCTTGCAGCTTGAACCCCATGCCTAACCTTCTGGGATGACAGAGAAGGGATTCTCATCTTCTCTGTCCTCAGGTCTTTGTGCTTCTACGCCCCTGCTCAGTCTTCCCTTCTCAAATCTAAGTATCTCCAGGTCTTTTCAGTCTCTCTCTTCATAGGATTTATATTCTGGTCCCTTGATCATACTCCTTGTCATTCTCTGAGCACGATACTCAGGGCGGGACCTGACCAATGCAGAATAAAACGTCAACATCATCAACATGTCTGTTTGGAGTTATTACCCCCATAGCATAACGGATTGCGAAAGCAAAAGGTTTGCTAAGGTGTATTTTTAAATTTAATTCAAACAACTGAGGAGAAGGGTGGCCATGAGAGGAAGCTGCACATTGCTCACAGAACAACAGCTAATCTATTATTGATCAAGAAATAATTAGTGTTTAAGGGACTCCTGGAAACAAAACTAGGAAAGTGGAAGGGGGAAAGAAACACAACCGCCAGACCATGTTAGTAGCCGCTGGGGACTTCAAGGGCAAAAGGGTTCTGTCGTCCTGGAAAGCTGTCAACAAGTAGGTTTCATCCAATAACAGCAACCAACTGGATAATATTGTACAGCATTTTCAAGGATTGGATTAAGAAAAATCCCATGAGGGGTGGGGGAGAAGGGTGGATTATTACATGTCTAGAGAAAAACGCTTCAAGCATTAGCAATATGGATTCCCAGAGCATATACTTTTAATTCCCCCATACTTTAAAACATCCCTGTTACAATATTGTGATTGATTTTATCTCTAGTGACATCAAGAAAAATCTCCTGAGATCTCCTGTTTCTGCTTCTTGCTACCAGCAAAACGATACCTTCAGATAAAGCCGTTTTGTTATTAAAACATAAACACAACACGCACACACACATACACAAATCAGCATGACATTACTGAAATTTGGAAAGTCTTCTTTTTAAAATAAAATTATATTTCCTAAAGAATTTCCCTCTTCTGAAGGAAATGAAAAAAAGGAGGTGTGGCATGGGCTCTCAGCAATGCAACATTCCAAGACTCCCCATTTATGTAAAGAATTGACGCTTGAGACAGATGGAAAGGGGGATGAATGAAAAGAAGGAGCAGCTCTAGAATGACAGCTGTTTGTAAACAATCTCTTTGTTCACTCAGCAGAATGATCCAAATCCTCTCTAAATGGATCTCAAATTCCATACGGAAGATTTTGAAGCTTCTTATGAATTTCTTGAGCCCCTCACCAGGCAGGCACCTGGGACAGCCTCTCAATAAGGAGAGGAGGTGTTCTGGAACTTGCGTGAAGGGAGAAGGCTCTCGCGGCAAAGTTTTGGATCCATTCATCCGATTTTTTTTTTTTACTTAATTCCAGGGATAGGGAGAAACGGGGAGCCCTTCCTGCTTGCCTGCCCATTCCCCTCCCACATTTTGCACACCTGCTTCCATTTTAACCAAGGGCTAAATCCTTTGCTGACAGTGACACAAAATTAAACCCAGAGTATTCTGGATTTGAGACGAAGTACAAATGGTGCTTGTCGGCCTCAAAAGCAAACCCGATCGTAATAGAGGCCTGGGGAATGTGTGACTTTAATCAGCACAGGCTTAAGCCAGGAGAAACCACATTTGTGATATCAGGGTTTGCCCTCCACCGAGCAAAGTTGCACTGAGACTGGCAAGGGATTTCGGCACATCTCTCTCCCCCTCCCCCCTTTTGTCACACAAAGGTGGGGTTTCATCCTAAGGGGCCCTAGAAGAACCATGTGGCTGCAATCCTCTCCTTCCCTGCCATCCAAAGACTAAATGGCTAGAGATCACCCTGTCTACTTCCTTACTCACCATCCAACAAATGAGAAAACTTTCCTCCCACAGAAGCTAACTCCCTAGAAAGCCAAGGTAATTTACATTATTCCTCTGGGTCTGCATGTGTAGGTCTGCAACATCGCCCGTTTTAATTACACTTCTCTGCAATCACCTCCACGCTATTAGCTAACACCTCAACCAGGTAACTGCTCTGCAAAGAAATGAGATTAGCAAGGACAATAAAACATTGATCCCTCCCTTCTTTCTCTTCTTGGGAGGAAAAAAAAAAAAAGGCAAAAAAGAAGGAAAATCCAACCTGCAGCATACTGAATGCTGCTAAATTCAAGCAAGAACAATAAAGGATGATCTCCCTTTCCAAAGAAAACTGCTTCACATAAGCAAAATGCCCGGGCAGCTCATTACAGCTGCGGGGGGAAAAACAACAAAGATACCCTTTTGTATTTGATCAAAAGGGATTTTCTCTGATAATACGGTTAGGCAGCCACCCCCAAGATTTCCTCCCCCCCACCATGCACTATTCATAATATAGCACATTAAAAAGCTCAAAACCATTGTAGTCACCGATAGGGAGTACTATCTTTAAAGGGGGACGAACCTTCAACACCGAGAAAGAAAGAAAGAAAGAAAGAAAGAAAGAAAGAAAGAAAGAAAGAAAGAAAGAAAGAAAGAAAGAAAGAAAGAAAGAAAGAAAGGAAGGAAGGAAGGAAGGAAGGAAGGAAGGGGGAGGGAAGGGAAGGGAAGGGAAGGGAAGGAAGGAAGGAAGGAAGGAAGGAAGGGAAGGGAAGGGAAGGGAAGGGAAGGGAAGGAAGGAAGGAAGGAAGGAAGGAAGGAAGGAAGGAAGGAAGGA